AAAAACACCAATACGGGCGAGGGTTAATGTTACTACAATACGGCGAGGGTTACGGGCGATGCGCTGATGTGGGTCCCTTGGAGATGGCGTGAGGGGCCTCGCAGGTGCCGATGTGGTGGCTTTTAGAAACACTGGTGTGGGCCGTGGGGCTATCACAGACGGGTGTGGAGCCATTGCAGCTGATCCCTCATTGGCCGTTACTAGGGCCCTCAGAAGCCGGCAAGGTCTCTCAGAAACCGGCGCATTGGTCCTTTATGGAGATAAGTGTGGCTACATAGGAGCCCATCTGACTCATTGAGTGGTCTCCAGGCCTTGACACAATTCTATTCGACCGACCTCCTCGTACAGGAGATTCTTCTCCGTCTGACAGCCCTCGACCGAGAGGGAACATCAATCACTTTTTGCTGGATCCCTAGTCATGTTGGTGTTGCTGGCAATGAGCGGGCGGACGGATGTAAAAGTTTCAATGATACAAGCGGCAATATTTAGTGTATGCACCTCTCACACCTTGACTGCCAATAACACTTGTTTTCAGGTTGGCGTCAGTCTCCACTATCCAATCACAGATGGATACCAAACGAGGTGAGTTACAGTCACTGTCGAAGTATTCCTTGGTTTGCAGAATATTGGAATCCATAATCTAGGGGAAAGTGGTAGAATCTTTGGATGAAAACAGTGTGATAGGCAATATCCAGCATGAGTTAAATAAAGGCTGTTTATGTTTAACCTAGACTTTTTTGAAGCTGCGACAGATACAAACACTTTTGGCAAAGAAAGCAGTTTGATGTAGGTAGCATACCTTGACCTCAATAATGCGTTTGATAAAGTACCACACATAAGGATAGTATTGCAATTGAAGCTGCAAGGCATGAAGGGGAATATACTAGACCCGGTTGACAGGACGCCAGCAGCGTATAGTGCTAAATGGGTGAAGGGCAAGGTGGGAAAAATGTTCTGATTGGGGTTCCTCAGAGCTGTATTAGGTCTCATGTTCAAAATTTATGTAAATACAATCGACGAAGGCATAGCTTAGTAGAGTGCTCAAATTTGCAGATGCTATTAACCTGCGCCGTGCTGGTGGTCTGAGTTTTTAATGTCATGCTGGGGGCTCAGCGGTCAAGGTGGGCGCATGACCGCCACTGAGGGACCCTCAGAGGTCATTGTAGGACCCTCAAAGACCGGTATGGGAGCTGTGCGAATAGCTGGCGTGTGTTTCTTGAGCCTCGTGATAATCGAATAAGGGCCAGGGCCCCATACCCCCATGGGGGCTCATCGGTTAGTTTGGGGGGGGGCAATAAATGCTATGATGCCCATGATTTGCCTTGGGGGGGGGGGGCAGTGGCGCGGGAGCCGGGGGGGGGGGGGCTAGGGGGTGCTGAGCCCCTCCAACTTTTCGGCTGGGAAGGGGGGCTCGTAAGGTATTTGAGCCCCTCCAACTGGAGGGATCGAAATCGGAAATATACCAACATAATTTCATAGATTCATACATAGGCGCGGGAACCGGGGGCAGTGGGGCAGCTAGCCCCCACAACTCTGGGGCCGTGGGGGCGGTGCCCCACAACTTTTCATAAGGTCAGGAACCGTTGGGGCAGCTTGTCCTCCCCAAATTAGGGGTTGTGGGTCACAAAGGAAGAAAGCATTTAAGTGAAAAATCCAATCACATTAAACGCATGACATTATCTTATAGTTAACTCCGTAACGTTGTCAGCATCGTGTGCTTCATTCAACTCAGTGTTGGCTGCCTAATTATTGGCCGGCCGCCTCTCTCTCTCTCTCTCTCTCTCTCTCTCTCTCTCTCTCTCTCTCTCTCTCTCTCTCTCTCTCTCTCTCTCTCTCTCTCTCTCTCTCTCTCTCTCTCTCTCCCCTCCCTCCCCTCCCCTCCCCTCCCCTCCCTCCCCTATGTCCTATTCACCGATCCTCACTGCTCGCTCGGGCCGCGTAGAGTGAGGCTCTGCCGACTCGCTCTGACCGCCCGCCGGTGACGTCACGGCCCCTCCGGCAAGGTCAGGTCAGGCCACCGCTCGCTAGTGCCGGCCGGACTTGTCGGTCCGAAGCCATACTAGCTCCGGAACGCTACGGCAAAGACTGGTTAACCGGAATAGAGCCATATCGACCCAAACTCTTATTCCGACGGCGTTCCGTTTACACCGGCCCAAATCTGGCGTGCCGGAGTCGCTAGGGCAAAACGGACTTGAGCCAAACCAATTGCTGGCTGGGAAACTTCCTTTAGTATTTTATGTTAGCTAATAGCTATCAATATTTGACAGGGCGCATAGCTGGATCATATGGGAAGAGGATGCTGCTTGCTGCTCTCCACTCCCGTGGCAGACATAAAGGCGCGCAGCGTCACTCACGTAAAAATGGACGAGGTAAGACGTGACTATGGTGCCTACATTTGTGTTGTTACCAGTTACTCAGTCCACCCAAATCTACTTGTATCTATGCTAATCAACACATCATAATTCAATCATTTTTCTGGTTTTTCTTTAGACATTGTTCTTTTTTTGGCTCACTACCTGATCCTACATTTTAAAATCACTCGCCGAATCACTGGTGATGGTTAAAAAATCAAGACAGCATTCATCCTCCTACCGCCATGCTTCCTTATGCGTTGCCATATCTTTTCTTTCCAGAAGTCCTCCCTTCATCTCCTGGGTCAGCCGGCCGCGTGGATGAAACCCCTCCTCACACCACTGAGTATCATGTATACCACAAATATCCTGGACTTGACTTGACTATGACGACTCATGAGCTGCGACCGGCTACCCATGCGATGGACGGAGCTCCGCCGCCCGTCCTGACCCCGGACGCTAGAAGGTGGGATGCTCATCATCTGCGTGAGACTTCTGAGACTGCGACCGGAGCCCCGCCGCCCGTCCCGACCTCTGACGCTGGAAGGTGGGATGCTCTTCATCTGCGTGAGACTTCTGAGACTGCGACCGGAGCCCCGCCGCCCGTCCCGACCCCGGACGCTGGAAGGTGGGATGCTCTTCATCTGCGTGAGACTTCTGAGACTGCGACCGGAGGCCCGCCGCCCGTCCCGACCCCGGACGCTAGAAGGTTGGATGCTCATCATCTGCGTGAGACTTCTGAGACTGCGGCCAGAGCCCCGCCGCCCGTCCCGACCTCTGACGCTAGAACGTGGGATGCTCATCTGCGTGAGACTTCTGAGACTGTGGCCAGAGCCCCACCGCCCGTCCCGACCTCTGACGCTGGAAGGTGGGATGCTCTTCATCTGCGTGAGACTTCTGAGACTGCGACCGGAGCCCCGCCGCCCGTCCCGACCCCGGACGCTAGAAGATGGGATGCTCTTCATCTGCGTGAGACTTCTGAGACTGCGACCGGAGCCCCGCCGCCCGTCCCGACCCCGGACGCTGGAAGGTGGGATGCTCTTCATCTGCGTGAGACTTCTGAGACTGCGACCGGAGGCCCGCCGCCCGTCCCGACCTCTGACGCTAGAAGATGGGATGCTCATCATCTGCGTGAGACTTCTGAGACTGCGACCGGAGCCCCGCCGCCCGTCCCGACCCCGGACGCTGGAAGGTGGGATGCTCTTCATCTGCGTGAGACTTCTGAGACTGCGACCGGAGGCCCGCCGCCCGTCCCGACCCCGGACGCTAGAAGATGGGATGCTCTTCATCTGCGTGAGACTTCTGAGACTGCGACCGGAGCCCCGCCGCCCGTCCCGACCCCGGACGCTGGAAGGTGGGATGCTCTTCATCTGCGTGAGACTTCTGAGACTGCGACCGGAGGCCCGCCGCCCGTCCCGACCCCGGACGCTAGAAGGTGGGATGCTCATCATCTGCGTGAGACTTCTGAGACTGCGGCCAGAGCCCCGCCGCCCGTCCCGACCTCTGACGCTGGAAGGTGGGATGCTCTTCATCTGCGTGAGACTTCTGAGACTGCGACCGGAGCCCCACCGCCCGTCCCGACCTCTGACGCTGGAAGGTGGGATGCTCTTCATCTGCGTAAGACTTCTGAGACTGCGGCCAGAGCCCCGCCGCCCGTCCCGACCCCGGACGCTAGAAGATGGGATGCTCATCATCTGCGTGAGACTTCTGAGACTGCGACCGGAGGCCCGCCGCCCGTCCCGACCCCGGACGCTAGAAGATGGGATGCTCATCATCTGCGTGAGACTTCTGAGACTGCGACCGGAGGCCCGCCGCCCGTCCCGACCCCGGACGCTGGAAGGTGGGATGCTCTTCATCTGCGTGAGACTTCTGAGACTGCGACCGGAGGCCCGCCGCCCGTCCCGACCCCGGACGCTAGAAGATGGGATGCTCATCATCTGCGTGAGACTTCTGAGACTGCGACCGGAGGCCCGCCGCCCGTCCCGACCTCTGACGCTGGAAGGTGGGATGCTCTTCATCTGCGTGAGACTTCTGAGACTGCGACCGGAGCCCCGCCGCCCGTCCCGACCCCGGACGCTGGAAGGTGGGATGCCTACAAAGGGGTGAAGGTGACATGATCTTGGGAAGGAAGTCGGACCAGGCGTCCGTGGACGACTACGTGCCATGTCCTTACTGCTATCTTTTTGTGGTTAAAACCAACATGATGCAGCACATAAAACATCACTGTGTGGCTCGCAAAACAGAATGCCCAGACATTCCCACGGTGCTGGCAGAGAGCCGGACGCTCCTGAGTGACGGCCAAGAAGAAAATACTGGGTATCACAAGGACATATTGTCTCGTATGCACGACGATGCAGTTACGAAGACCATAAAGAACGATGAACTCCTGAAGAAGTGGGGTGCCAACTTGCACGCGAAACTTGGAAGGTCGGGTTTTGCGCAGATAAGCCAGCGCCTAAGGATGATGGGCGAAGTTGTCCAAGCAGCCGGAAAGAGCATGCAAGAGCTGATCAATGGCGAAGGATTTGATACGGTTGTAAGTGCCACCAAATCCGTCTGTGGGTTTGAGCAGGACAAGCTAAACGCCCACACGGGGCTGCCCACATACAAAACTCCTTCAAAGGCCATGCGGATTGGAGGCGTGTGCGGTGCCCGTGAACACCCCTCAGGGTCCTTTACAGCTGCCTCTCGAACCTTCTTCTCCGTTAGCGGTGATAGGTGTTCGCCCCTGACGCAGATGACGACCTTTTCCTCATCGGCTTCTTCTACGGGCCCTGTAGTGGACAGCCGCTGGCGTGACAGTGCGTCAGCGACAGTGATCCTGCTGGCAGGGGCGCTCGTCACTTCGTAGACGTACGGTAGCATTCGAGCCTACCACCTAGCAACAGGTGCTCCCGCCCAGTCTGAGAACTTAGGCGAGGAGCGTGTTCATCACGGACTGGCCAGTCCGGAGTGTTAAACGTCGCCCTCAGAGGTAGACGTTCCACCGCTCCATTGCTTGCACGGCACTGAGGGCCTCACGGTCGGACAAAGAGCACCGCTCGTCAGGACAAAGCACTGAGCCGTCAGGACAGCTGTGACATGATGGCACCAGCACCCAGCAGTGCTATCAAATGAATGATTCGGATGCGCGTGGCCGTGACGTCACCACTGTCGGTAGGTCTCGGTTTAAGGGCGTCAGAACCGGGCTGCTCGGTACCATTTTTGATGGTCTGGAACCTTGACTCTTCCCCCATCCACTCGAACAGCACTCCTTCCGTAGAATCACAGCAAGTTGTCGGATGTAAGCGCAGACTGGGATGGAGCGATTCGACCAGCAAGTCAGCGAGAGGAAACTTCTGAGCTCCCTAACAAGTTGTGAAGGAGATTCTGGCAAGCAGAGTCTGTCGAGACCAGGCCGGAGGTGATTTGCAGAAATCGTATCAACTCACCGTGCGAGATGAACGCTGATGTTCCTGCTCTCCGGATGGGGTTCCAGTTGCTCACATGCCGACCGGAGATCGATGTTGCTGTAGACTCTGCCATGAAGTCGAGCCTGGTACTCTTCGATTGTCGAAAGAGGATATATCTCAGCCACAATATGTGAGTTGGGCCACCTGATGTCAACGCTGCCCGTTGAATTTGCGAGAGAAGACCTGCGGGTTCACCCATGAGGACGCTTCAATCTTCTCCACGATGTCTTCCGCTCCTCCTGCACCTCATCTCGAACAGAGAGCAAAAGACGGCGCAGCTTGTAGTCCGTGGGCTTAGGGACGAGGATGGGACATTTGGGACGAGGATGCTGTAATGCTGGTAGCCATTGATGGTCGGGAGAATCGCATCCCCCTCCTCTTGTATGGTGAAGACCTCACCTGATGTTGGGAAATGGTGACACCCAGCTTTGCATCAGACCCAGGCCTGTGATGGCTTCCGCAGCGGCCATGTATCCACCAGGAAGAGGCTGGCATCCACCGACTGGTACCGGGCTGTGGCACGCAGACGTCGCAGAGTATTTACCTGTCACGCTGAAATGCATTCTCCCGAACCTGAGGAGGTTGGATGTGGATGGCTCGTAAGTGCATCCCTAGAGACGGCAGACGTACTCTGCACTAAAGTCTCAAGGTCGAGCAGGTTTCACCAGCATCCACCGTAAGTGTCATCGCTTGCCTACGCCTCTCTGCCTCCAGGATGACAGGGCCGGTCACCTTACTTACTGCAGGTGTTTACCTTGCACTGCAACACATGAAACGCCATGGTGGCCTTCTTCACTCGTGTTAACTTCCTCTTTCCGACTGCAGCATAGTGACTTCCTTCCACAGACGCGTCAGGTCACTCGTCTGGCAGGACACTGAGGGGCCCTGGCTGTTGGCATGGTCAGCGAGCCCCTAGCTCCCGCATGGCCTTCTACAGATGCTGGGTGTTCTGTCAACCGCGGCTGTCGGCTGATATTAGCCACTGCGTTGTGTTCATGACGAGCCATCAGACGACTGGAGGATTGAACGCTCGTAGGCTTCACACAAATCGAGCACCTTCTCCAGGGTGAGGGCACCGTCTTGCAGGAACTTCGCTAGATGATGATGCAGGATCTGTTCCACCACGAGGTATCTGATCGTCTTATCTTCAATCGTCCTGAAGTTGTTGCTCTTGTTCTCCGCGGGTCGGCTCATGGCCGGCCGTAGCCCAACGGCTCTCGGTGACTGAGGTAGCCGCGGCTGAAGGCCGCCACGACACCGCCGTCCCAAAGCTGCGTAGGGTCCGATCATATGTTTCCGAGTAGTTGGAGCCTCGCTCCGGCCAAGCATGGGCACCCGAGCAACACGCGCTCCGGTGTGTCCGGACCCTCGCGGCACACCAGGCAGCGCGCCACTGCACTGGGCAGGCCAGGTCGCTGCACTGTGGACACTCGCGCTCGGGGTGGCGTCCGATCCTGCGCAGATAACTCTACGAGTGGCTCCAGTGTCCCGCCCGCAGCTGGTGGACGTTAACCGCCTCGTCCCGAGACACCAGAAGCACCGGCATCGGCATCCGGTCTCCCATAATGTTTTTTGAAGATGCTGTCTGTCCAGCTGCGATGCCATGCCTTGGTGGCGGAGCGGCCAAGGCTGACAGCCTTCACGAAATTAATTCGTATATGATTGTCCAATTCAATTGTCCAATTCAAACAATCAGCCTTTACGAAGCAGCGGACGTCCATCGGGACGGCGGCTTGCGACATGCTGGAGGCCACTTTAGCCAGCACGTCCACCCTTTCGTTGCCGGGTATTCCGCAGTGTGCCGGGATCCACTGTATGAGGACTCGGAGTCAGGAGCAGTCGCCATACGGCGGCACCGAGTGCCGTCGGTCGTCTGACTCCCAGCACCACTCGCCAGCGTGGCGAGCGCCGCCTGCGAGTCTGAGCAGACGATGACTGGGCTCTCCGCCGGGCCGCCTTCCAGCTGTAGCAGCATCTCCAGAGCCCCGCGGATCGTCACCAGCTTAGCGCGGGTACTGCTGCATATCTTGACTGCGGGGGCTCGGAGCTCGTGTTCCTCGCCCGAGGGGAGGATTATCAACGCTTCACTCCCTCTGGCTGAGACACCTCCCTCCGCCGAGCCGTCGCTCCATACCTACACGGCGTCGTCTGGAAGGGTGGCCAGATGTTCCTCCGTTTCCGAGCGCCGGACGTCGGCTGGTGCTGTGCGGCTGATGTGGCTGCCGATGTCTAATTTATCGTCCTGAAGTAACATATATTGGCTAGTGCTCGCAAAGCGGACACATATTCTGTAGTAGTCTCACCAGGCTGTTGGCCTCTCCGACGGAAGATGAGATGCTCTACCGCAACACTGTTTGGACGCTCTAGGTAGGCCCGTTTACCCGGTTGATGCCCGCTAAGCAGTGCTGAACTAAACAACCATGTCTGCTATTTATCACTAAATCACCCGGAGCAGACGAAAGTATATCATGCGGGTATAACAGATGTAAAGTCGGTATCACACCGGGCGTCAGTGTTTCCGAATAAGTATGTAATTAGAAAGTTAACTCTTTGAAACAAAGGTGATGGCCTGAGGTTAAATATTTTGTGCTGTGAGAAAATCATTTAAAGCAACCAGTAATTGGTTGTGTTTTACCTTTTTGTCTATCAGGAAGTTCGTCAACGGTGTCACAATAGAATAATTTTCACCTTTGACAACGTGTATAACTGTAGGGCGGCCCATTACCTGACTAGAAAGGTTGTGAATGCACCCTTGTCCTTCCATCGATGTATTGTGATTGGAAGAGCGTCACGGCGCTGGTAAAAAACTTGCCTCAGGCTAGTCAAGGCGTATAACAGGGTTAACATTTCTTTATTTTTTCAGAGCGATATGTAAAGTGGTCTGTGCCCGAAGTGCAGAGACTGCGGGCGATACTGAAAGCCCGCGGTGGGCGGGTACCCAGTATGGATGACCTCAGAGACCTGTACAAGAGGGAGCCGTTCAACGGCCATAATCTGAATGACATAAGATGCAAGATGTACAAACTTAAACAGAAGGCAGTAAGTATTGACAATGTATTGATGCACTTCTTTGTACTTGGCGCGTATGTTTGTTGCGATGCGCTATATTCGGTTGCTTATTTTAGGCGTGCAAGGGATGATTCCTCCTTGATACTAACTGAGTCAATCGTCAGTTAGTTCTTCAATGTTCATTGTCATAACTATGTAAGTGTGGATAAGGTGACCTATTTTTGAGTTCATAGAACTGGAGCCAGCAGAGCTCCAACCGCATTTTTTTACTTCAATAAGCCAAATTCCAGCGGTATTAACCCTCGCCGGACCTATTGGTTTTCTACATACGCGCCGGCCGAGGGGGGTACTACGACCCCCTCGCCGTTTCGCCCCTGGTGGAGCTAGCGCGTCGCTGAAAAAAACGCTTTTGAAAACCGTAATAGGCTCAATATTGTATTTCCTTCACATAGCTCCATGACTCCGTCCGATTTCACGGCGTAACTAACATCAGTTCGGTGGTCCCTGCCCTCAGGAGTGAGCTGCTGGAGCGGCCGGGCCGGGCTGTTCTGGGTTGGGTCCGGACGGGACTTGGGGACCGGCGCCGCCCGCGGCGTCAAATACATGTGTCTGCCCGCGCCCCAATGCCGCCCGCGGCGACAATACATGTGTCTGCCCGCGCCCCGATGCCGCCCGCGGCGACAATACATGTGCCTGCCCGCGCCCCGATGCCGCCCGCGACGTCAGCAGTGCTCTCTGTGGCAGCCAGTGAACAGCCGCCACATGGCCTATGTCAGGATCGCTCGAGGCGCTGCAGTAGGTCCTGCTGGCCGTGTCCGGTGTTTGGTTGTCAAGCTCTGAAGCACCGTTTTTGTTGAGTTTGGTTATCAAGCTCAGAAGTCAGAGGCACCGTTTTTGCTGCGTGATACCGATGGCACGGACGCATGTACCATGTTCGGTTGTGTCTCGTGTGCCTGGTGTAAGTCTAGTGATTGTGTTGATCCGATCGAGTCTGTGCTAGGGTCCAGTGGCAGCGCCCGATGCCGTCGGTCCATGTGTGGTCGGCAAAGGGTGGCCAGCGGCCTAGCGTACGTCGGAGTCGTGAGCGTCAAGATGGCGTGTGAAGTGTGTATGGGTTGTTGTGTATCTCGATAACGTGTTTCCTCATAATGGTTTCGATGCTGTAAGTTCTCGTAAGTCCGTTGTCATCAGTTGTTCTCTGGTGTCCGTCCTTCCCTGTTCGGCACTGGCAGCGGTGCCCGGTGATAGGGCTGAATCGGGCCGGGGGCTGGGCTGTGCTGGGTTGGGTCCGGATGGGACTCGCGGCCCGGAGCCGCCCGCGGCGTCAGTAAGTACATACATTGAGTTTTACATTGAGACAGAAGCACCGTTTTTGTTGAGTGACACCGATGGCACGGACTTGAGTACCATGATCCGTTGTGTGTTGTGTGCCTGGTGTAAGATTGTGTTGATCCGATCGAGTCTGTGCTAGGGTCCAGTGGCAGCGCCCGATGCCGTCGGTCCATGTGTGGTCGGCAAAGGGTGGCCAGTCCGGCAGCTGCATTTTTGTGTCCTTATTGAAATACACTGTCAGTCGTCAGAAAATGAACCTTTTTGCACCGTAGCGGCATGCTGCCGTTGGCGTGACGCTGCACATGTCCACACGGAGCCCGTCGGTGGGCGAGCTGCAGGCGGGGCTGGCGCTGACGGGCGGCGCCAGCCCGCGGCTCGACGGCGCGCTGGCCGACCGGCTCGGCTCCTGCCGGACGCCGCTGGTGGCCTCTCAACTGCTCTGCGCCGTTGCATACCCGTTATTGTCCATTATGTTTTACCGTTCGTGTCTGATTCTGGTCTCCATGGTTGATCCTATGTCGTTCGTGCCAGGTTATGGTAACGTTCTTTCCTGATGTACATACCATCGCGCCATATTCTGGAACCGTTCGTGCCTGGTGACGGTACGCTCTCCAGTCCAAAATGGTGCCGTTTGTACCAGGTTCTGGTGCCGGGTCTCATAACTGTTCGTGTTAGATTACGGTAGTTACTAGTTATGCTTGACTGTTCTGTAGTTCGAGCCTGAATTGCCTCACCATTTGTACCAGCTTATGGTGCTGAGCCTGACGCTGATGCCGTTCGTTCCAGCATTGGATCCCGTTCGTGATATACAGTTGCGCCAAATTCTGGTCCTGCTCGTGCCCGATTTTGGCCACATCCGTGCCAACGATTATCTCAGTTGGACTTTATCGTCATATTGCCTTCATTATTGACCGCAGAAATGGTCCATTGAACTTCGGCACCTTACAAACATTTTATTTGTATGTGCTTGGATTGAATTTATGTGATTTGATTGATTTTATTTATCTTGGATTGAAGCACGCTTTACTCCACTTCGAATGGCGTATCGCCTCTCTCGTTACACATGGGCTCGCGTCGTTTTTTTTCAGCGTGACATTGACCTTGACCTTTGATTTTGAGCACATTTTCGAAATCCTCAGGTTCTCTTCTTTCGTTTGACACCCAATTTTTCCGGTTTGATGCTGCCTGCGGCCTGCCGTCCTCTAGAAGGCTTACTTTGAGATCACTACACATGTGCCGGTTTTTGCCTTTGACCTTGACCTCTGACCTTGAAAATTGACCTGAGGTCAAAATTTTAGGTGCTTTAGAATCGTCTCGTAAGGACCTTTCGTTTGGTATCGCTTCTGTTACCGTAGCTCCCTTATTTACGGAGTTAGACAGGGGGGGGGCGAAAAACGCCCCCCGGGCTGCGGTGGTTGGGATTACCCCCCGGGCCCGGCCGGGTTAAGGTGTAGACCTCGAGTCAAGGTCAGGTCATGGAGCCCCTCAGGCCTCAAGTCACGAAGTTGATCAAAGGATATCATATTGCATAGCATTCGATTCTGCAGGTCTTCCCGAGTCCAATGGTGTCTTTCCCGACTCTCTACTTAAATTTGATCGGGAGTTATTGACGAAAAACTCTTATGACCCTAGTGACGTCGTAAATGACGTCACGCAAGGTCAACAATGCAATAGTGAAGCATCGGACCTTGCAAGGAGTGCATGAAATCACGATTCCATGCAGGGACGTACCCAACGGGGGGCGTCCGCCCCCCCCCCTTGGGTTTTTTAGGAGGCCCCAGATGGAATCAGGGCCCCGTGGGCCGAAGGTCCACGTTGGTTAAAATCACGTCGGAGGCGAACGAAATTCACGGGAATCCCCCCCCCCAAAAAAAACACGTCAGGACAATCAGGGCCCTCTGACCAGCCTGACAAGTGACAGCTAGGGTCCTTCTTACTTCCTGGGGCCTCCTGTGAATAACCGTTAGTGTCTGTGTCTGACCGCTAGGGCCCCTCTGACTCCTCAGTAGAGAGGAGGCCTCTGAAGGTAGGAGGCCCTCTGTAAAGAGGAGACCCTCTGTAGAAAGGAGGCCCCCTGTAGAGAGGAGGCCCCTTTAGAGAGGAGACCCTCTGTAGAAAGGAGCCCACCCGGGATTCCTCCGCCCCCATCCCTTGGCAAAATTCTAGGTATGCGCCTGATTCCATGTGCTTGGGATAGTTTTAGATCATTCCCGGCGCCAAAATAGCAGTTTTCATATTTACCCATTGACTTAATAATGGTGAGGTCACGTAACCGACCTAACCACGTGTGACCTTTAGGAAAAGATCAGAGATATATACAAGTTGTGAGACCTCTGAAGGTCTCACAGATAAAACTTACATCTTCGTAAGTTTCATCTCCCTGTGAAAGTTCCTCTAGCACTGAGGGCGTTGCGAAGTTGCGACATCTGAGGACCGTGCATAGGTTCACTTATGTTATAGGTCACGTCACTGACCTGACCTGAGCTGAAAATACGGCTGATCTCACAAGATCCGGCTTGAGTCAAAGGTCAGGTATGCCAAGTTTCAGCTCTCCATCGCGGGCGTGTTCCGAGCTATTGCCAAAAAAAAAGTATGGGGGCGGCACCCGCCCCCCCCCCCTTGGCCGGCGAGTGCTCGACTTCGACTATTAATTGATGGGAACATATGCCACAATATGCGAATAAACGTAAGATAAGCACCGAATCTGTCCATCGTGCACCTGATAGGTACACCTCAAGAATTATTGCATGTCCGTCCCTCCAGCATCTCAACCTCCGTGCCTCACCGGCGAGCGACGCAGCGATTCAATCCATGAAGGAACATATCCGAATTTTTTCTTCCTAGATAGGCAAAACCTTTCATTAAAAGATGCACAAGTTTATTGCAACATCCTAGATGATGCAATAAATCGAGGCAAAAATGTTGCGATAAACATGTTGCGATAAATTGAAATTTGTTCATCTTGTGTTACGATAAACGCGAGAAACTAGTATGTATGATACCTACAGTTCAACCGTTCAACCCAAGTAGCATGGTGATTGGTGACGATACTGACGCAGCCAATTTTTCTTCATAAACAAATGTTTAACACAACAAAACTTGATAAATGATTACTTACGAGGCACACTGATAGATAGCAGACACCACTGTAATGATATCGCGATGAAATCTAAGTAAAATGTCCATAATTTTACGGAAGCATTGACACACGTCACGTGTCATCTCTTCCATAATGGCGCGGCCTTAGAGGCGGCGGCCATTTGCATTAAGCTGTATAAAATAAAGTTTTTCTTTTCTTTTCCTTAAGTCCACTTAAATCAAAATTACTTGTATAAATTTTGACATCTTAAAATTAATTCAAAAAAGCTTGTAGGCCGTTTTTGCTGAAAAATGAAGTACCAGAAAAACAAAGTTGTTCAATTATTTTCAATTAACTATTGAGCTACATCGGTACTTGGCGCAGCTGCGACATTGAAATGTTTTTAGATGTGTTCAGTTTTGAAACTGCTGTGTGCGAATCAAGCCAAAAACCAATTATATTTTATTAATGCTTATGATAACATTGCTAGCGATCTGTATCTGTTGAGGTGAGCAGGAAAGAGAACACTAATTGAAGAAAATAAATTATCCACAGGATCACGACAGGATCGCTCACTACAGAGGCTTTTGAAGTTGAGCGAAGTTGAAGATTTGTGGGATGATGATGAAGTGACAAATGCTGCCTTCAATATTAGATGATAATGGTGAATCTAGTGCTGTATTAAACAGGGTTTTGGATAATGTAATTGCATTGCAGTGAAATGGAGAGCAAGACAAGGTCAAGATCAATCACAGACTCCTCAAAACAAAGTCAATTTTGTTGCTAATAAATGCTTTGGAAATTTTGAGAAAGGCAGTTAAAGTATGTTTTCCAGCATACAGTGAGTAAAACATTAATTCATGTTCATGTCTTGCACATTGGCTTTCTTTGTAAGATAATTATCCTCATGGTATTGGAATTTGCTAACACTGATAACTGATAAGTTGCCATTTAACATTGGTGGTCTGATGTATTTGATATTGCAGCTCATGTGTTTGCCCATTTGTTAGGACATCATACATTTGGGAGAAATGTGTCATGATTGCCATTTTTTCTTCATCCAGTGTCATTTAGCAAATCAATTTTGAGTTCAGAAGGTTTATCAAAAATGCTTTCAAATCTTTTATGGCAGTAGTTGATTTTCATGATACCGACAAAATACCAAATGCTTTTGGTATATCATACCGAATACCGAATCGGTTTTGGTTCGGTATCGGTATACCGAAATTTTGGTAACCGATTGACACCACTAGTTCGTGTAGAATAGAGAAATGGTCCTTGTTCCGCCCTCAGCAGACCTATATTAGGCTGGACTTGTAGCCGCCCTCAGTATCAAAATGCATGATGCATAGATGCATGACCGCTCTCAAGAGGACCTCATCAGCTGAGTACCCGAGTCCAGATGAGTTTATCGGATCGGTCACAGAGCAGCGTCCTTCCGACTCTGGCGGCAGCGGCGCACGCTGACGTGGGAGTTCTCGGTACGAATCAGCGCAGCTTTTCTCCATCTGGGAATCAGAGAGCATTCCCTCATGTAGCTGATCTCGTGCACTATAGTATAATGCAGGCTATAGACTGCATTGGAATGTGTGCAATTTGGCTGAAGGATGGAAGAATGTGTTCTGTTTTACTTTGGAAGGAATGCTCTGGCACTTTTTTATCAAAAAGAGAATTTTTCAAACTGTCATTCGGCTTACGGACATGTCGACGAAGTTAACTGTGTATCTTTTTTCGCATAAAAAATGGGTAAATTACGGCATATTTCTTCAAGGTTGTTACTAACTGTTGTCTCTTGGACACTAAGCAATTAAACATTTTCCTTTAGGTAACAGAGGCAGCCTGCGCTATTGTTAGACCTAAAAGGCCCACGTGCAGAGTTCGGGTTGTCTGGACGGCCGCCATGACGCGGGCTAGGACCGCGCTCTTTCCCTCGTGTTTATGACTTGCATAGTGTTCATTATGTCGTAAACTCGGAAACAGTAGGCGATTCACGGAAACCTTCAGCCACCACGCCATGAGAATGCCTTTCTTATTTCGGTGCTGGAAGGTTCTAATGAGCAAAACCTGGCACATGAGGTTACCGTGAGCGACACCCTAATGCGAGGCGTTTTACATAACCTACACATTTACATTTTTACATTTGTACATATTTCTTATAGTTTGGTACCTACTTGCTTATCATATTTACGAATCAATTAAATTACGGTGTCACACTGCAAAATTATAAACCGACGCATCGGTTATGCCCACGTTTCCTTGAAATCCGTGTTATTGGCGAAAACGGATGATGCATTGCAGCTGTTCCGCTGTACCACAACCCATTGCACCATACACATTTCTGCACGACCCTACCGAAAGACATAAGGGCTGCACGATACGTGCAGTTCAACACACGCTATGAAGGACGCGCAAGTCACTCTGATAAATTGGGTTTTTATCTCGGCAATGGAGGCGTCTGGGTCATATGAAGCAAGTAGTGCAAACGGGCAAACGGATCTACACGCAGGAGTCTTGTTCGCGATGCACAAATGTCATCTACGACAACTCGAGGTGTCCTGGTTATTAGATCCCCCAAAACCGCATCATTACCCGGCTCTCGCACAATATTTTTCAACAACTGCTGGACTGGGTCGCTTGGACTGTGGCCACAGCCCGCAGAGACAGTGCACTGCCGTGTTGTGCCGTGACTGGAGCGTGAAAAAGGTACATGCATGGCTGCTGCGGCCAGCCAAGACAATGCTGGCCGCTCGGGTACGCTGCTGATAGGATCTGTCAGAGCCGGTCGCACCGCGTGGTATTTTGTCGGCAGCCGTTACCTCTTCATCACCAGCCTCGTGCAGGACATAGTTATGCAGAATACGCAAATATTCCCCACGAGCAACTAGAGGTATCGGTGCATCCGCTCGTTGGCCGTCGCTACAGACAATGTTACGGCTCGCGCTTTGATGCCGCTTGAATTACCAAATAGTTTTATTGTTGCCTGCTTTGATCAGCAATCTCTATCAAAACTATACGTGTCCCTGCTATTATTTGTCAAATAAATATTGTCTTTCTTTGATTCAATTTTGAATGAGGAACAGTCTACAATGCGACTCGTCTCATATATAGGTGTCATGTAACAGCGATGCTGCGCTCTCAACGCTTAATTGTCAATATCTTCTGCCTTTTTGTCGTCAGTTTGGCATGCGGGACGGCTACATCTACTGCCGACACCACTATGAGCTGCTGCTGACGGGCGAGTACGCCGGGGCCGGGCCCGTGCCCGACTTTGTGCAGTTCTCACCCACCGAGCAGATACCCTACATCCCGCCCGTGGCGGTTGGTCAGAAGGGCCGTCCGCGCAAGAGGAAGAGCCAGCACGAGGACATGAGCTCGCTCGGCATGGGCCCCGGCCTGCACGGTAAGTTCGGTGATGGGTCGGTCGGGGCGGGGGCACCCCAGCCATGGATTGGTGGGCATACACCAGATATACCATTATTTTACCCACTCTCCCTATACAGTATACATATGTACATACCTACGTAAACACATGTCGATTCATATTTTACTCATGCCTATCAAAAATATCGTCCTATCGTGACACCTCAATAAATTTGATCGTGAGGCTCGGAAAATTCAATAAAAGCAACTGTAATGGACAACCCAGAGCTGACTAGGAAATCAGTTATAGTGAGGCCAGTTTATCAACCCTTGCTCCCTAAAAAAAAAAAAAAACTTATCGGTCGAGAGTGTTCGTGTGGAGTCATTTCATTAACCTTATCACCCTTATCACTTTCATATCACGTTTACCATTCTTTTGGTTTATGACGCAGCTGCGACCCCCTACCCTCTCACACACACACACACATGGGCTTTCGAAAAGTGTGCATTGTACGGCGGCATATGAATTTCTGCCATAGAAAGTAACACTGGTGACGAAAAACAGCTGCGGCAGAGGCGGCGCATATGTGGACCGCCAGTCGCACAATGATATGGCTGAATGTCGTAGTTCATTTCTCCGATAATCGGCTGGCTCGAAAAGTCAAAGGCACCATAGGAGATTAAGACTTATCATTTGATTAGCGAGTAGCTCCAAGCATTATGCAAATTTTAGTTATCATAACTTTCTTATATTTTTGCACATTCATTCACTTAATTCGCCTGAACAATTAATGCTATCTTTCTATGCAAACCTGCTCACTGTTCAGTCCCTTCCTCCATTTCATCTTTCCCTTGTTCCGCGCAAGTGGCAGCCCGCTTCCTCACTCCTCTACCGTCTGCGCTCTCGTCCTCTGCCACTCGCCCCACCCTCCGTCGTCGGCGTCTTGCCTTTGCACCGTTTGTCTCGATCGATCACCGGCCAAGATGGCGCCGGCGAGCGGCTCGACGGCGAGTGCGGGCGAGCGGCACGCCGGCAACGAGCGGCGGCGCGCGCATTTTTCTCCCGCGCCGGGGCTTATTGATCGCCGCTCTGCAATCGCTGCAAATGCGACGCGCACAAAAATGTGCAGTCTTCTCATATCAAGATGGGCGTACCCAAATGAGTGCCGCCGGTCGGTCTGTGGGACCGGGCCGGCCCTGGCTCGATGACGGTAGCCAGCTGACAGCTGTCATAAGAGGTCGCCGCTGATGACGGCCGTCATCTGACAGCTGGGGCATTCCACGATAGATCGTACCACTTTTTTCCAATTTGACACCCTCATCTCTCGGAATTTGACGAGAATTGGTCTCAGGGGTAATCAGGGGCTCTGAATCCACCTGTAACAATTTCAGGCTTATCAGATAAGCATTTTTTAAGTTATGGTGTATAACATTTTTTGGATCTTGCTTTGCAGCGCTAAGTTTGGCGGGCTGTAACTCAAAGACCAAATGCCAAATGTTATATAACATTGAACTTGCGATGAAACAGAGATTAATATGTATTTTTGAAATTTCGAAAAATACGCTATTTTTGATATATGACATATCGAGTTTTCTTTCATTTGTATTTTTTGGACTTTGGGACCAAATTTTTTTGAATTTTTATTTCTTTAAAAAAAATATTTGGCTCATTGTTAAGAAGTATGCGAAAAATTAGGAAGGTGTTCTTTCTATAAATGTATTTATTTTACGTCACGATAACGGTTTCGAATAGTAATTTCGGGAGGGGAGCTTACAAATGGCGTGGTAAAGCTGCCTAGTGACATCACGGGTTACTGAAATTTCAATTCAAGTCTGAGTCATCTGAAAAAGTGAAAAGAGGGTTCATTCAACCCTCTTTCCTATAAGCGCGAGGGTGAAAAAGGCTGTTTGGTTCTGACATTGTTTTGGACGCCAATGACCATAGCTGTCTGAGATGAAAGTTACAGGACGCATACATGGTGTCCTCCAGAGGTCTCACAACTTGTATATCTGGGAATTTTCAAGGTTACATGAGGTCAGGTCGGTCACGTGACATCACTGTTATAAATCAATGGGGAAATATAAAAACTTATTTTGGCGCCGAGAATGATCTAAAACTATCCCACGTACATGGTATCGTGATTTCATGCACTCCTTGCAAAGTCCAATGCTTTACTTTTGCATTGTTAACCTTGCGTGACGTCATTTATGACGTCACTAGGGTCGTACGAGTTTTTCGTCAATAACTCCCGATCAAATAGAGCTAGAGAGTCGGGAAAGCCACCAATGGACTCGGGAAGACCTTCCGAATCGAATGATATGCCATATGATACCCTTTGCCCAGCTTCGTGACCTGAGGGGCTCTGACCTGACCTTGACCCGAGGTCAACTACTTAAGTTGACCTCACCCTAGCAAAAAGTATACCATTCGATGCACCTGAGCTAGGCGAACACAATGATGCCAAAATCGCGGCTCTAAGGCCATTTTTGCGAAGTTATTTACTAAAAAACCGAACCCGTAACTTCAGTCACGTGACCTGACCTCAGACGCTACCGGTTAACCTGAGACCTTAAAATCGGGTACCAATCGCTGCGACTTGTAACGGCACACACGCCCATTTTTCCCGCGAGGCTCTAGCTCTATTAGAAGCGAAACGGCGTGCTGGGGTCGTATCAACCCCTCCGAAACCCATTTTGTTTGCGGGAAAATGAGGAACTTAGAGAAAGAACACCTTTCTAATTTTTTGCATGTCGATTTGCAATGACATGAACATTATTTTGAAAAAATAAAAATGTGAAAAATTTTGGTCCCAAAAGTCATTAGAGGCAAATGAAAAAAGATTAAGGTTTTTGCTCAACAATGAAATTTTTTCTTTGGAATTTTTAAATAGTAATATTAATTTGTGATTCATCGCAAGCTTAGTGTTGTTTACTTTTTGTTGGTTGCTTAACCCGTTCTTGAGTTATAGGCCATCAAACTCACCGTTACATACCGAAGTTCAAAAAATGTAATGCAATATAACTCAAAAAGTTTTGATCTGAGAAGTCTGATATTTTGCCAGGCGTCTTTGGGGCCTATGATTACCCCTAGGACCGATTTTCATTAAAATCTGAGAGATGAGGGTGACGGGCCTGGTACGATCTATCGTGGAATGCCCCAGCTGCCACCGGCTGATGACGGACCGTCAGCCTGTGACGGCCACCGCCGGCGTCACAGCACCGCCGTCAAATTGTGTGGGAACGACGCATCAGGCAACTGGCGAGCGGTGAAACACCGCGAGAACGTTTGAAACTGCAAGTAAAACATGGATTATTTATTTGATTCGTATCTAGGAATGGTTTTGCAACATGAATTTAAAAGGTAGCCGCCGCGATTGTTGGGTGACGCTTCTCGGAAATGTTGTTCGGGGACACCGTGCGCCGGTCTGGGACCGTTTAGGGCGATATTTCTGTGCTATCGGGGCGGCTGACGACCTTGCCGATGTTCACGCGGCGGCCTAATCCGTAGGTGCCGGCCGGCTGGCCATTTTTGAGCGCCGACCATAAAATCGTCTGACGCCCGCGGTGGACGGATTAGCGCCAATGAATAATGGACGGTGACCGCCTGCACGGAACGTCGCCGGCCCGACGCCGCCGTCTCAATGACTCGGAGCTCGGCCGATCGATTTCAGATGCAGGCTGAGGTTTAATGCATTCCGTGTGGCTATTACGAGGTGGTGTTATTCGAGGACTGTTTGTGGCATCGTAGCATTCGGGCACGCTACGTCCAGCTGCTGCAGCCCGTGGTTTTCGAACAGCCAGCGTCCACCGCACGATCTATGCCTGATTATATATTAGCCGTTGTTTCCTGAGCTATACCTAATGCGCGCCAGACGTTACAGCTGAGATGTTTTATTAGTTATTTGCATCATCCGAAGTTAAATATAAGCTCAAGGAAGTCAAAAAGTGAAATTCTGACATACACCCAGCGGTCTATCGCTACCTACTCCATCAGCCGTCCAAATGGGGACATCCGAGCGAGCTCACCGGGCCTGTCTCGAACGCCGTCGGGGCTGCGGCGGGCCGGACGTCCAGGCCCCACCGGCAGGTGATGGGAACCCCTCGACCATGCACGACGCATGCCGATGGCACCGCTTTCACAAAGCAAACAGTTTTGTCACGCGATTTGACGTTTCCTGGCTGAACAACACTGCTAGCTCGTGGCTCGCGGTAGACTCGTGCAGTGGTTGGGATGCGCTGCTCCACTGCAGAGCTCTGAGCCGATAGTATCTGCTCGGCGGCGGATGGCGTCATCCGCTGTCGGGACTGCCGGGAATGGACGGCCGCCGGCTGACGGAAAAGCCGACTCCCGAATGGTGGCTCCGTTTCCGGCTCTGGATCGTCAGAGTGGCGTCAGGCCGTCATCCGCCCACCGGCGTGGGAACGTGGTCGACGTCAGCGGCATGCCGGCGTCAGCCGTCATCGCGGATGTTGGCGTCAGCCGTCATCGCGGATATAGCGACGTCGGAGACGGCAAACGCACCGCTCTTGCTCCTCTACCTTGTGGCATTACCACCAAGGTAGCTCGGCGCGGTGTGTCACCAGCGTTGGTTACCACTGGCAGTGACGGTGTCAATGTCGCTGCGATACAATCTCTGCACCGGCCGATCGGTGGGATTAAAACGGGGCGGCAGGCGGCGGTCCGCCAGGCCATCCATCAGACTGTCCTTCGCCACCGGTCCGCCGCAGGGGATTGTAGCGTGCCGCCCCTTTCCGAACCGGGGGAGCGAGCGGTGTCGTGATTTAACGTCCCTGCGGCACTGGTGGGCTGCGCTGGCCCGATGCTATCTCCCCCCGGCCTTCACGCAACACCACCGGCCGCCGGCCGACGCCGGGTGTCGTTTTCGACAAACGTCGGACGCCAGCGGCCGTCCGGTGCCGGCTGCGGCCGAACGGTGGGTCTGAGGGGTGGATGGAGTGGACAGCGGGCCGGCAGCTACACCAGCCGGGTGGACAGACAGGAAGGACCGGCCCGGACGGTAGACTGTGCTGGCCACCTGG